GGTAAAGTACAGTAGGACTTTTGCTTTTATCAAAAAAGCGAAAGGGGAAAAGAAAGATGAACCTTACTTAGGGACAATGGAGTATATGCTGAGTTTGGCACATGATCATGTTGTTTTAGAGTTTGTTATAGTTTATTTGATTTACGAAGTATTATGAAATGTAGTTGGACATAACCTCACTCTTTGAAGTTTATATGGATTTTTGCCTTTAGTTTTTCAGACCTTATTTTTTCATGTGGGTGATGTTTGTACGTTTTTGGTCAATTTTCATTATGAAAATGAGATGTGTTAATCGATGTTCTTCTCTTTGGGGCGCTTGCCACCTTTGCGTGCTGGAATGCCTCACTTCCTTAACAAGTAACAACTATATGTTGATTATGTTCAAGGAATATGGTTCCTAAATACCGAAGCTAAAATCAGCAAATATTGGCTAATTCCGGGCTGCAGAGAGCTGAAATAGTGACATGTTTATGCAGCATAGGCTATGAGTGTTTTCTAGTTTTGTAGTTGCATGGTGATGGCTCCATAGGATGGCGACTATTATGCTATTTGCTTCTTCTAAATGCTTTTTGTGTACGTTTTTTTGCTTTATGTATCTTTTGTGAGCTTTTTTCCTGTGGAGCTTGAGCCGGGTGGTCTCTTGGAAACAGCCTCTCTACATCGAGTAGGGGCAAGGTCTGCGTACACACACCCTCCCCACACCTTACTCTCGTCGGATCCAACTGGGTTGTTGTTGTTGTTATGTTGTAGAATTTAAGAATTAATGATGGTATTCAGAGGCTTTATTTTGGAAAAATTCTTCTGTGTTCAGGTTTCAACTTTGTTACACTAATGGCAGCTGCAGAACTATCGGAAGAGAATTGAAAGCAAGGGAAATTTTAGATTTCTTCAATTATACACTTCTGGTATCGTCTCCTTTTTTCGTTACATTGAATAATGGAAGGCCGTAAACGAAACCCATTAAAGCAACATTCCAGCACTCAATTTAAGAAAAGGGGTGGCCCTAAAAGGGGGAGGCAGAATAATCACACCCCTGAAGGGGCTTCTGAAAATGCAAATGCATCTGACACTGTGTATCGTATTCTTTGTGCATCAAGAAGGATTGGTAGTGTAATTGGAAAAGGTGGAACTATAATCAAAGCCTTGAGAGAGGAGAGTCAAGCAAAGATTACAGTAGAAGACTCTGTTCCTGGTTCAGATGAAAGAGTAGTAATAATATCCAGTCCTCCAAAACTGGGAAAAAATAGAAGCACTGATGATGGAAAGAATCCAACAAGTGGGGAAGGCAATGCGTCCATGAGGCCCCATTGTGCTGCTCAAGACGCTCTTATGAAAATCCAGGAGAAGATTATTGAGGAAGACTTAGCTTGGGCAGCAGATGAAGATCGAGATGAAATTGAAGTCACTACACGCCTTCTTGTTCCAAACAATTTAGTTGGTTGCATTTTAGGTAGAAAAGGGGATGTTATTACAAGGTTAAGAACTGAAATTGGTGCAGACATTCTTGTTCTTCCCCCTGAAAGTCTGCCTGCCTGTGCAATGGATACTGATGAATTGGTTCAAGTAATTTCCTTATCCGTTGCTGTGCCTTTTGTATGTTTGGTTTACACTTTTTGGCCCATGTGTTTCTCTCTTGTTCCCATGTCCATCATTGAAAATTTGAAGTCTTTTGCCTATTGAGCTTACCAATATTTCTCTTTTAAATTAGATATTCCTGGATCCTTTCTTTTTTTATGTTTCTATCACCATTTTGTTAGTGATTTATGTGTGACTTACTAGGCACACAGAGACTATAATTGATCAATAAAGTGTCTGCAGTAAAAATTATCTATGCTGCAGATGGTTATCTTTTACTCCCCCTCCCTCCATTGGATGATGTGTGCAAGTTCTTATTTTGACTTGTGATCAGTTGGTCACCATATGTGAAAGCTTTATTTATTTTTCTGATTTATATGTCTGTATTCATTTCATACTTATGGGATCTTGCAGGTTTCAGGGGAACCTGGTTTGGTAAAAAGAGCTGTTTATGAAATATCGACATTGTTGCATCAAAATCCACGTAAAGGCACACCTCCCACAACTTATCCAGCAGCTCGTAGCGTTCAAGCTCTTAGATACTCTGACTTTCCACCGGGAAGGATGGTAGAACAGGGAAATTCATTTTGGCCTACACATGACCACTATTTAAATGGCATTCCACGACCGACACATAATGGGGCATATGAGAACCAGCCTTCTGGTTATAGAGTTGAGAGTTTTGATGGTGTTCCTCCCTCAGGTGGTGGAGAGATTCCAGCTGAGTTTACTATGAAAATTTTATGTTTGGATTCTAAGATTGGAGGGGTTATTGGTAAGGGAGGAGGTAACGTTAGACACTTGCAGCAAGAAACAGGGGCAAATATTCACGTTGAGGACTTGTCCGCTGATTCTGATGAAAGAGTAATTCGCGTTTCTTCGGTTGAGGTTTGATTTTGTCCCAATCCTCTTTTTTCATATGGTATCTTTGCATCGCTCCACTAATATATATCTTTGTCCAGGCTTTGCGGGACCCTAGATCACAAACTATAGAGGCAATCCTTCAGCTTCAGAGTCTTACTAGTGCATCCTCTGACAAGGGTATCATCACTACAAGGCTTCTTGTACCATCTACTAAGGTTGGGTGCATTATTGGACAAGGAGGTCTGATTATAAATGATATGCGGAGGAGAACTAAGGCAGACATTCGTGTTATCTCTAAGGAAGAGAAGCCAAAATGTGCTTCCAAGGATGAAGAGCTTGTGCAGGTCACTTTTTTCTGTATTCCCAAAGTTTACTAGATCTTTGCTCATGTTAATAGTTAATGCATTTAATTTTTGATCTCCATTTTGTAAGTATATGCATGTTACATATTCCCCCTGTTTACAGAAAAATAGATGTTCCGAACACTTTTTTTTTTTGCAAAAAGAGTTTAGTTTTATGAAATAAAATCTAATTGCTCTTGTAGTTTGTCAAAAAAAGGTAAAATAAGCATAGGTTACATGTGATAATTTGACTAAACCCAACAAATAAATTCAATTGAATATTTATGATTTATGAATAATGATTTATTACAGTTGTACCTTACCACAATATAAAAGCTGTATATATCAGCTAAGCATGATACTTTTAGAGGAAAGAGGGAGTGTATGTTCTAAGAAAGGGTACCAGTGTGAATAGCATTTCTTATTCTAATCATTCAGATATCGGGAACTGTTGGTTTTGCTCATGAAGCCTTAGCTGAGATTGCTTCAAGGCTTAGAACAAGATTTCTATCAAATTCGAAAGGGGAACCTGCTCCCTCAAGGCCAGCCCCAGCATTTGGTCCAGGTGTAGAGTTCCCTGGTCCCAGACCTCCTCCTGGTGCCTTCGATAGATTCCACTACTTTGAGGTATATATCTTGGATTGCAAGTTATTGGGAATTTGGGATGCCCTTAGCCTATTATTTTGCTCTACATGTGTGTCTTACATAGACTAGCAAAGTAAATTCACTCAAGTTTAGATGATTCGTTTCAATTCTTTACTTGACCGTACTATTTGATTCTCGTTGTGTGGAATTAAATAGCATGTGCATTATATCCTCAATACTTTTAAGCTTGCTCATTATGCACAACACTAATTTGTTGACTGAACCCAAATATTGACATTGTTTAAAATGTGAGAAGATTTAGATTCAAATGTTAAGAGCCCTTTTGCGATTGTGTTCCTGTTGGGATAAACTTTTTTTTTCCTAATGTAATCCAAAAGAAATCTTAGTTTTAGTATAAAAGATAATAATTTAAGTTCATAAACGCTATTGTAACACTAAATCCATCGCAGAATGTGTCCTCTGTGTTGGCTTTTGCAGTTAAGAGAATTCCATTGACGTGAAAATAGTTCTTAGTTCTTTTTACATGTTACTTTTCAGTTTTTAACCCCAAGAGCAAAATTTCTGACTCATGAAAGCACTTCTCATATTGCCTCTTCAAATGGTGCTTTTTTTCCAACCGCAACCTTAAATCCAACATGAGCCCTCAAAAGATGATGGGGTTAAAATTACATAGCATCGCAGAGTTTGACCAGTTGCAGTTGAAACTATATGCTTGCACTTGTGTGCATATCTACTTGTAAAGCATAATTTCTGATGAGTCCATTTTACTAACTAATGACTTGTATGATTTGAAGGGTGATGTCCGTGACTATGGCCATCCTGCTTATCCAGGCCCTCCAAATGTGAGAAGGTATTTGTTTCCACCATTCTATGTTGTATCCATTGCTTTAACCCCCTCTTTGGAAGGAGTAAAATATGAGAGGAAAGAAAATTTAGGGTGAAAAATAAAGGAGTATGTGTATGTTAAAGGAGTATGTGTATGTATCATGTTTGGAAGAGAAAGAAAAATAAAGAAGGATGGAAAATATTTAATTGTTTTGTTTTCTTAATTTTACTCTCAAAGTGGCATGAAAATGTAAATACCTCAGAGTAGTAGTAAGTTAGTAACTAATAAGTTTCTCCAATTTACAATTATTTTGGAGGTAGAATAAGTTTTTTTTCTTCCACCCTATTATATCCAAACGTGAGGATGAAAATTAATTTATTTTCTTCAAAATTTTCCATCTTTGTTTTCATTTCCCCCTAAAAAGTTATCCAAATAAGGGGTAAATATTTGCTCAGATGCACTAAGTGCTAGGTCGGCCCATTACTCAGTTAGGTGTGCTTGGTGTCACTAGATCCCTTAGCAAATGTTAGAACGCCAGTTTTAAAGGATTCATAACGTCATTATCTACAATTTGTGATGATTTTTTTGCTCTTCTGAACCAGATTCCCAAATACCACTAGTCCTACAGAACTGAACATGCCAACCAGTACCATGAGCTCTGCAATTGGTACAGGACGTGGTAACACTAGCGAGGTAAATTT